GCTCTGCTACTTTTTAACTTCCTTAGTAAGAACGGCAAGTAACAGAAAGAGCTTAAGCTACTTAAGAGATGTTTTAAAGAGTTCATACTGTTTTTATTAAGAAATTAAAATATTCATTACTCACTAACGACATCAGTGGAGATAGAAGCCAGACTAAAAAGTGGAGCAACTTTCTGTTCATAAATCCTCTTCCCTTGTCGTTTTCCTCCATACGGATTAATATACACAAGCAACTGCTTTGGTCTTGACTCTGCAGTAAGGAAAAATATTATAGCATACTGCTTTTGTACACAAAACAAAAATTCAACAAGCTATACAAAAACAATCCTGTAAGCATCAAAATGAACACAGCATACAACCCTTTTATACTTTATTAACTCTCATAACCCTGTAATTCTTTATCAAAAGAGCTATAAAAACCGCTGGTAATAAGAGCAGGTGAAATTCAGAATCATGTCCTCTGACTCCATGTCTCACGTTCTTACACATATTATTCTTGCGGTACCTTCCCACTAAATGGCGTTAGTATCACAGGCATACAAGACAAAAGACAAACCAAGGCAGCAAGAGGGAAGGCACTTGTGAGTGAAGCACACGTAGAAATACCTTTACATTAATTTATTTGAACAACGTTCTTGCTTTGGTAACACAGCTAGAATGCATTTCATTTCTGTGATAAAGACACGGTAACAATACCTCACAAAACTACATGCTGCACAGCAAGTGCTTGCCCTATGGCGTAACCCCTTGCCCCCAGAAAACACCTTTGGTGTTACCATCTCAAGTTTGTTCAAATAGTTATGGATTTACATTGTTGGTGGCAATGAAAACAATCATTACATCTCTGTACTAACAGATACACAAAACAGTAATGCTTCTGGCATTTCTTTTTTTGCATAGAACACAAAGACCTGTTACAACATCGGCACTTCCTCAGATGACGTTCTGAATTATTACTTTAAAAAGAAAGAATAGAGTTATTAGATCAGCACACTGGCATGATAAATAACCCAAGTTAGCTTGTTTGATTGGTTTAAAGCTGCCACACATCCAAAGCACCATTCACTCCTGAGAACCTGTTACCTCTTCTGAACTAGTTTGTTACCAGCAGAATGAATACCTGCACTCTGAGATGACTGCCCAGGCCACATCTCTCAGGTGTACTGAATGGGTGCCCAAACCCCATTTTTTAAAATATTTTATTGGAAGTCCACGTACCTCATGTAATGTATACAAAACAAAAAATGTTAGTAAGATACATGCTTCCAATGCCTATTCAGAAGGACATTTTTTGTCAAATATCCATTTTTATTCTGAGAGACTGAACTATTTGCGTGAGTCACATGGTAAGTGTACTTGTATCCAGTCCCTTCTCTGGCTCTGCGTCTCAGAGGGACCTCAGATCTACGCTGTAGGTAGCTTATCTCCAGTCCTGCCTTCAGCTCCACCTCCTGCTGCTCCTGCCTGGCCTCCCTGGATGGAGCCGATTCCTTTATCTCATCTGGGCTGTAAGTGGGACCCGCTGCTATCCCCATCCTTGCTCCTCCCACCCTGCTCAGATACAGCGGGACTACACCCTGGTCGGTGAGGACACTGCCTGTGCTATGGTCATTCTTGACCTCCCTTCTGTCATGGAGTTGCTCTGCTCCTGCCACTTCCTGACATCTATAAAGGTATCTCTTTCAGGAATAACTCCTGCAAAACTACTTTTAGCCTTCAAAGGAGTAGATGTACAAGAGTCCCAGAAATGATTAATGGGAACTCTTACTACATAAAGCACATTGTTGATGAGAAGGACTGGAAAGGTGAGACAGACACAAAAAACCACCCATAAATCTTACAATGGCTACAATCCTTGTCCTCAGATCTCTGGAGTACCTCAGATCTCTGAGCTTACATCTGCCTTTTACTTTCTCCAAAGCTACAGTCATTTAAAGCCTCTGCTAAGCTTCTAACATGTCCCTATTTTGTGAAAATAATTTACAACTGGGCAAAATAAGACACATATAGTCCTGACTGATTAGAATAAAACACTCAGCACAACTTAGCGAATATGTGAGATACAGAAGTAGTGATAAGAAGAATGAGACATGTCAACTCTCGGCTCCGCAAAAGCTGCTCTTAAGATTTCAAAACAGTAAATATATCAAAATAACATTAACTGACATACAAGCCTGTAAAATGATGCTGCAAATGTTAGTAGTTTAGTCAAACTTACTCTGCATTTCAAGTAATTCTTTCAGCGCCTGGATCCACTGATTACACAAGTGCTCATCAACACACCAAAAGGTCACATCACTGCACCGCCAGCGGTGATTTCGGGCTTTCTTCACATAATACACTATTTAAATTAAAAAAAAGGCACAATGAGACCATCCTGTGAAATGAAAAATGCATTTCAGAGACACCTCCAAAATATCTACCTTTGGGAAAAAAGTGGTAATTAACTCCACTATATATTTCTGCAAGTGACAGAAGCATTCAGAGTAGGAACAGGACATTTGTAAAAAGTCAAAATGAAAATATAAATGAAAACACCTGCTGTACATCATTACCTTATAGCAGATACTCAAACATAAACTTTTTTTTAAACCAAGTGCAATCCATTTTCCATAAACAGATTACAGACATACTTATACAAAAGTTCACTGAGCTTACATATTATTTTATCCATATTAAAGTCTGCAATGTCTATATAATATAAAATGCCATAAGCCAAGCCATCACATCAGCTCTCATGTAACCAACAGGGTGAACTTAATTTCATAAAGCTGAACTTTGAGAAAAAAGATTAGAGTTTTCTTGTGCATTAAGAACTAGGCTGGTGAGACAAGAAGGACCCTCACCTTCCCATCTACAGTCTCACCAATCATGGTTACTGAAGGACTAAATGTGAGGAAAGTACTCCACAACATAAAATTTTGGCATGGCAGCAATCACACTTGCCCCAGCTTTGCAGCACATAAGTCACCACTCTTTCACCAAAACAAACAGAAATTTACTTCTGGCACTTTGTTTTAAGAATGCAGTCACTAATACAAAGAACCTCTACATGTGTACACTCTGATGGTTAGGGGTAGTTTAAAAAAAACAAACCACAAACGTTTAGGACTCATTTTTCCAGCCTCTCTCTTGATTTTCTAGTCAAGTAGTAGAAAGTGAGTGTCCTGCTGCAGAGTCATTCAGCAGCAGAAACTAAGACATTAGTTATGACTTCATTAAATAACTAAACACAGCATGTGTTCTTAAAGGGAAGGTTTTATGTTCGAAAATAAGGATCTCTAAATGCACATTGGCAGATTTTTGGTGGGGTTTTGTTTGTTTGGGGGGTTTTTTTGTGGGTTGGGGGGGGTGGTTGTGTTTTTTTTTTTTCCTAGCTGTTTTAAAAAATTCTGAAGATTCCTTTTGAGTCTCCCCCAAAGAACCTCCAGCAAAGTAATTACCACAAGCATTCTGAGACTGTATTTGCCTTACCTGTGAAAGCATGTGGCTTTGCCATTTTCTGCCATTTGCCAATATTACGCCGTTTCTTGTTAAGTTCAGTTTCTTCGACAGCAATGATCTCAGAGGTTGGCACAAAACAGTTTTCTGTATGAAGACAAGATTTTACACATTAACATCTTAAAACAGAATTACTTCTACACATAATATGATTTAGACATACACTTAGAGTAGCTGCTCAAGAAGCACAACCAAGAGCATAAGTAGAAATTTGCTGAATATTTTCAATTTTCCTTTGCCTTTAGTCAAAGCACATCATCCATAACCACCTATGAACTACCCCAAATAATTTAAATGCCTATGATTTCTCAGAAAATTAGGTATTCTGAGTATAAAAACATTTTTGCATGAAGCCAAAATCCAGCAACATTGATTTCAGAGTAGTGAAATTGCCCCTTCAAATGATGCCTTAGTCCAGATAGTTGACAGTAAATAACACAAGCTATTTCAAAGAATGTGCAACTAAATCTAGTACAGGGAGACTACAGAGGCTATTTGTTATTCTCAAGTAAGTAGCTGGCTTAAGAATTCATATGAATGCCCTTCTTTCATAAGACTTTAAATCTCACTAAGCTTATAAACTTCAGGATCTCCCAAGAAGCAAATTCTAGATGAAAAAAGTTGAACTGTGAGCTCAGAGACAAGGAATTTCACTTGGCTTAGTACATATACTCAACTGAGTAGCACACAACAGTTTCTAGACAAAATTCCAGGCAAAATACCATGAATTTTTCAACATGTTGTTTACATACTGTTAAATTTATTTCCCTTGTATCAACTTCAAAACTACGGTTTTTCAGAATCAAAAGCCTCTTGGTCTTAACACTATGAAAGAATTTCCTCCACTCTCTTTTTTTTCTTATAGTCCCTCAACACCTGCTTTACTCCTACCAAACTGCCGATTTTGTCTCATTTTCATTACCGATTTCAGAATTTCTTTTACATTATCTCAAAAAAAGTGGGACTGAAAATATATGCTTTGTACTTACATATAAGCAGCTGCTCTGTATATACACACATATAAAACATAATTACATAAGATTATATTGTTATACTTGTTATGTAAAAGATTATTATAATATACTTGTTCCTCTCATATACAGACAGACATATAGAGAGATATAGAGCTACAAAGACATATTAAACATCTAAAATATCAACACTAATACTGTTGTGGCTGAGTTTTATTCTACATTTCATCTTCCTCACTATGTTGCAGAAGTACCATGGTGGTGGTAAGGAATGCACAACAAGCAAAAAATTTTGCTGAGCTCTTCAGTGGTGACTACAATTCATTTGCCACTAGTTCAATTTTCTTTTTTCCCTGTCCTATTTAGGTAACAACTCTGATTATAAAAAATAGTCAGGTCTATTGACATGTCATGGACAACACACACAAGGTGTTTTTTCCTTTACAGATGTTTTAGTATTTGACTTGATTGATATTTCTTTAGGGATTTTATCTTCACAGAGGTTTTTAGCTTGATTCCAAAGAAACGTAGCCTCCAAACTTCACACTGAGGTCTTTTAGGAATCTGGCTGTATTTGAGTGTTTTAACTACTTACAATTATTATAAACTGAAATTTGTTTTGTATTTACTATGTTTAAGGAATGATTGGCAAATGCAGCACAGAATGTCTTTATAAAGATCCAACAGCAGAAATGAACTCACTAAAAACACTTTACTTGTATACAGATGGAGATATCATACATATACATGTAAAACTATATCAAGTATTTAATATTGGTTAGTAACAGTTAATTGGTCTTCCTAACATTCAGAGAAAAGATTTGCTGTGGGATCTTCATAAGATTATCCACCTATCCATTTATCTAAAGGGGAAAAAAAAAACCCCACAGGAGAGAGACGGAACAATAAATTAAGGGAACGGCGCGTGTTCTTCAACCTTTCTTTCCCAGAACTGCTTTTAGTTCTAATGTTTCTACTGGCTATGCCACCTATCCACATGTCAGAACATTATAGAAAGCTTGTTGCATTTATAAATATTGAACTTAAGTGGTAACTCATTTTGTTGTTGCACATAGATATGCTACAAAGCTGACAAACCGCATTTAGATCAAAATTTAAATGACAATGCTCTAATGAACATTTTGGGAAATAATTCTACATACTGGATACTTATTAGCGTGTATGCTAGGGGCAGCAACAGAAGTCAATGTTTTATTAGGCATTTTCTGTACAACAGAGAAAGCTGTCGAACTGTACCGACAGCAAGTAGATTAAGAAGCACTTATAAATCTGTATCACTGAAAACATTTCTTTAGAGTACATATTTTAGCATATATTACACAGCTTATATTAACAACCCCTAGACCTTGAAACCACGTCTACTAAATTCTCCTAATTCTTCAGATGTGTTCTCCCTCCAACAGTCAGATGACTGGAAGTTTAGCTTTTCCAGCAAATCTCTTCACAGATGCAGCAAAAAAGCAACAAGTAAATGTTTTAGTTGGACAAGTGCATTTTTCTTTTTCTTAAGCCACAAGAGTTACATATTTGAAAAAACAGATTCCTGGAAAAAAGAAAAACAGGAACAGAACAAAAGCGAAGAACAGAGTGATCCCACCTTCTGCCTGTAACTCTTTGGGTTTGGTAGAAGTCTGACAAGTTTCCGTTCTATGAATACCAGCTCTGACGACTGTGGCCCTCAGTACTACCTGGCACTGCACAAGCATCAAGCAACTCCATCGCCCTGATAAATATACTCCAATCTTAAGGCAGTCAAAACCACACACAACCTAATGCAGTAACTGCAGAGGGCCAGAAAGACACAAAGCTATCTGAAATACAAACATGTTATTCAGAACATTCCCTACAGCTTATAAAAACAAATCTGAATGCATTTTATTGGCATATGTGTTTGAATAGAGCTTAAGAATTTCAATCAGTCCAAATATGACTCCATCACTATTCGACTTAGTGTTATGCAGTATATTGTTTAATCAGAAAGCAAATCAACTGCTTAGTCCCACCCTGCCCCCTTTTCCCCAGAAGGTAGAAGTTCCAAGTGCGAAGTCAAACAGGTACCTTCAATACAAGCAGCACAATCCTGCTCCTATAAACACAGTGCCCTCGTCTGCCATTTATCACCAAAACCCACCCCATAAAAGTAGAAGGTCACGAGTTTCTCCCAACACACTGAAAAATCTTATTGCCACATTAACAAAAAAAAAAAAATTGGTAGTTACAACAGCACTGCTAGATCAACATTAATGAAAAAAGTTGAACTAAGGGCTCAGACCATACCAAACAAGCAATTTCTCTTGGCTCAGTACTATATACTGAACCGAGTAACACACAACAGTTCCTAGACAAAATTCCTGACAAAATACTGTGACTTTTTCAACATAACACATTTAGATTCAAGAGACTGAATTTCAAGTTCAGTAATACTGAAGTACGTATCAATTTTCTTAATCTCAAAGATGTTCACACATTTATGTTTTCCTGTTTGACCTTGTTCAATGTCTAGCATACATGACACACTAAAGACAAGTTGTCCATCCAGGACAGCTAGATGAAGGGGCATGGCAAAAAAAAAAAATCTGGGCCCATCATCCCTCATTGAGGGTCAGAGTGCCCTTACAGTTGTCATGGACACTCAGTGCAAAATGACAAATGAGCAAAATACCATGTTAGATGCAAACTACTTTTCCCCAGATTAAACAAGTAGGAGAAAAGAACCCCTCTCCAAGATGAGCACACTAACAGTGGGCTTTCTTTGTGAAAAATGCAGGTGGCAGTTGTGAAGCGTGTTCTTCTGTCTTAAGAATGGCTTTTCGGTGTGTCATCGCTGCCTGCCACCCTCACAGAACACCTCCTGACTTTGTAAGCAAACTCACTCAGCACCCAAGTCCAGATCTGCTCATGCATCACTGCCAGCTATGTTCCCTACAGGACAAATTCCTCCCTCACAAATGTGTTAGCTCAAAGCAACACAGACATGCAAAAGCATAAAAAAACGTTGCTGATCACAGCATTTGGTTTATTCTTAACATTCAGCTCAGGCCCATGGATGCAGTGGCATTCAGAATGAATTTAAATTAGTAGTATACTCTTGTGCCTTAAAAACATTAACAACTAAAAAGCTGCGGTGCAGATTTAAAGAAAAAGTATTTTTTCAGTCACTTTGAAAACTAATTTACTGTTACAGAACGCATGAACAGTTAAGTTATCTTGCCCTAAGTTTAAGCTTTGCCTTCACCTAAAAGCAAGAAAACAAGAACGTTTTCTATCAGAAGGTACAGTACACTATATTGATCATGCATTACAGAAAGCTGTGTCTAATAAAGACCAGAATAAGAGAAGATGGTGGACAGAGATATAGAGCAGAAGTAGTGAATTCATGTCCTGAGGGAAGGGGAAGAAAAAAAAAGGAGTCATGACTAAATGATTTAATTCGAAACAGTGGAAGAGTCACAGAAACATCTGAAGGTCATGACCTCACAATATACAGACATATATAGGGAAACTGGCTTTTTTTTTTTTTTTTAAGTCAATGTCTGAGTACTTCGTAAACCAACAGAGAGTAGATCAGTTCCTACTATGATCAGTCACAGTTGCTACTTCACATCACATATCTGAGTTTGAACCAAATCACAGGAATTGGAACTTGGATCAAGTTGCATATTTAAATCATACTACTGAGTGTCTTCCCATTGATTTTTTTGTTCCAAATTAAATCTTTGCAACTTAACTATGAACATTTCAGTGGTAAAGCAAGAAATAAGATGCACTTTTTCACCTTAAGGGGAAAAAAAACCCAAACCACTAAGAGGTGTATGCTGAAAAGCATGTTTAATGTAGTATGCATCTATATTTGAATAATGTATCTTCCAGAAGACACATTCCAAAGAAACAATGCCTTCTAGAGCTATTATTCCCCTCATCCTACTAGTTCAATGTAGTCAGTGGAACTGTCTAGAGAAAACTATGGTTCAGATTTCTAGACATGCCCATTGCCAATTAGGAATGACTGATGAAAAACGACGTTGACTAAGGATGTGCCAACACACTACAAGTGCTGGACAGACCTTGTTTCCAAGCAGGCCCACCCCTGCTGTCTCAGTACTGCGTTTATCAAACCGAACATTCTTTAGACTCCACAACATCAAAATGGCATCAGTCTTGTGAATACTAGTACTGAGGCTTCCTCAAGTGGTTGCTTTGGGGGAAAAGCTGGAAAAGACACACCAAGGGAAAATTCTGAAGGGAAAAACAGAAGGGTTAAAAGCAAGTGCACACAATAAGTGAAGGCATACACTTCTAGCTAGATCCCAGTATCTAGCTTGATCACCCCCTTTATACTTGTACTTTACAATTATAAAAAAAGAAAAATGTCAAGAGAATCTCATTCTGTGTTTGTAATACCTTAGTACTAGACTTGGTCAGTATTTCTTAAATACCCGTAAGCACGTATGTACAACATATAATCTGCTATGAAATTTGGTACACAAAGTTTTATCATGTTACTTGATGAAAACCTGACTGTGCCATCAACATGAGAAAATAATAAAACAATTCATCTGCCCAGCTTTGCAAATCAACTAAATGTCATAGTGTAGTGTTAAAAGGTTGAAAAACAATGTTCTTCAGAATATTTGAAGATAAAAGCATGCCTAGGAAAAAAAGGTGCATAGCTAAAAGTAACAGAGAAGCACATGAAAAAATTCGGGTAAAACTTTTCCCTCTAAGTTCAAATAAGTCTTACCAACCAAAGAATGTGAAATGAGAACCTCATTGCACTGAAAACAGAACTTGAAAATATGATGCTGTTAAACAAGGTCTTACAGCAAGAAGGAAAGTAAACAGCATTTAGGATTTAGGATTTTAAAAACATACCACAACTTGAACAAATACTTCATGTTTTTGTTACTGTTGGTATCTTCTCAATGATAGCATTAAAAATAATTCTCCTGAATTAATACTTCTTTATGCACAAAATGCATTTTGACAGAATGGGTTTTAAAAATACATGTATTTTAATATCATTGTACAAAGATGAGAAAACAGAAGAATTTCCTCATATTCTGTAACATTATATATTCCTGGACAATAGGACAAAGTCTCTGCTGTTTCCTATCTCTTCCTGAATTTGGATGCACTAGGGAAAGGTAGATACTTCAACACTTTACAACATACCTAACTATAGCTCTAATTCCTTAACTGTCAAAGTCTGAAAACCTTGACAAAATATATATCAAACTATTTTTACTTACGTAGCTAAATCCAAGACAATAATAAATAGTCAGAAAATAGGAAGCCCTGAGTTTTTTCAGTTTAAAGACAACTGCTTCCCTGTAATAACCACCTATTAAACAAAAAATATAGCACTTTTATACTGCATAATTAAGTCTGTATTTAGGCATAACGCACAGCAGTCACATAGTCAAAGGCTAAATGGTAGAAAGATACCAATCTTGGTCAAGCAACTCCTCTGCAATTATACACTTCTAACTAACCATCTTCCATATTATACCGTTTATTTATATACTGGCATGTATGCTGTTCATGTTTCCAAAATAAATGTAGAGAACAGGACCAGCCATCCCAGGTCTTACAAGAGCTTAAAGACAACAGGGCAGCAATAATATAAAACTGTGATGGTATTAAAGAACAACTGCAGGAAACACATGAATTAATCAGGGTGTTAAGAGGAGGAGGACATCATCTATTGTATTGCTTTCTACCTAAATTATACCTGTGCCTCCAGAACACTTAGGCATTTCTTCTTCTTCTAGCACCCTCCTTTTTCTCTTCCGGTTCCTTGTCATATTTTCCAAAATCTTGTAAATAGCTACGTTACAGGACAGCAGCCACACTCAGTAACCAGACTTGCCTCCTAAGCAATTTCCAACTGGGTACTGCTTAAGAAACTGCCTCAAAACAGAGTCTAGTTTACTTTGTCTCACTCTCACCATTCCCAGCATTCTGACATCCACTTTGCAACAGGCTTCACGACAGGTTCACATTTGGTTTGGCCTACCAGGAGTAAGTTAAGAAAACTTACAACTTAGAAAGTTGCAAAATCTTGAAACTGTAAGCAGTTGTTAAAGTTCAGCGTGCTAATAAGAGAGCTAGCGTGATTCTGTGGCACTCTTGCATGGCCTAAAGGAAGTTATCACATAGCAGAATGGAGCTCCCACTGAACTATTACTCCCACTCTAGCCTACAGATCAGTCAACTAGTTAACTTGGCAAAGGCATTTTTAGAACGATTTTACACAATTCAACAAAATTCTCTCCGAAAGAGGGGCTACTTTACCTAGTGTGAGCAATTGTCCGAAAAGGCTTTGAAACTTTACGTTTTAAATTTAAGATCCAGGTATCATTCTCTAGACTCATATAATTTTTTTTTAAAACGTACACAGCTTATTTTTCACACCAATACATTAAGCTAGACAGAATTAAAGAATTACTTAGTCTTCAAAGTCTTAAGTTCATTTAGCTGCACATCCGAAGTAAGATCAGGAATTTTCAAATACTTTATAAAACCTAAGCTATATCAAATTGTATTCACAGAATAGCAGAGGAAGGATAATAAACTCTGTTTTTATGTTATGAGGAATAAAAAGAGATGTACTTAAAACATGACCAATTCTCAGTTTTGTAAACTACAACACCAAATCCTTACAATTCTTTTTGAGTCGTCCTCTTCCTTTTCCCTCACTTTTTTTTCAAAAAGCCTCA